GACCTCACAGGTGACAGGATATCACAGGTGACAGAGGGTCTTACAGGTGACAGAGGATCTCACAGTTGATGGAGGGGGTCTCACAGGTGACGGGGGTCTCACAGGTGACAGGGTCTCACAGGTGACAGAGGGTCTCACAGTTGACAGAGGGTTTCACAGGTGTGGGGGCTGCAGGGCAGCCTTGGGACAGCAAGGACACACAGGAGGTTCACATATTCCCATGGTACCCCAGCTGCCTCCAGATATGGGGAAGGAAGGAAGAACCACTGCTGGATGTCCTCCAGCACACAGGCCATGACCAACGTCTCTGCCAGGCCCCGTGTGGCCCCAGCGCCCACACTAATGAAGGCTGAGCTCTCCGTGGTGAATCCCCCCCACCTTGGTGATGTCTGCATCCCCCCAGGACTGGCCCCTGGGGCTTCCTGCTGCATCCCTTCCCCTGATCTCCTCCAGTGGGTCTCCCACCCACCTTGACCCACCGACCCTGCCCTGCCTTGAGTCGCATGCATGCATTTTATGTGTCAGGGAGTCTCTGGTGTCCCCGAAGCCCTCCCACCGCTGCAGAGACACAGCTCAGGGTTTGCTACAACTTCTGTGTGGCAGCTGAGCGGCTGCCTCTGCACAGTTCTCTTGGCCGTTATTTTATAGCAGACGTAGAGGGCGTGAGTTTGTGTACCTCGATCCCTGAGGAGGGATCACCCAGGAGAGTGGCTGATTCCCTGTGCTGGCTTGTGTTTGTGCCTTGTCAATGACACAGCGGAGGCCAGACGTGCTGGTGCGCCCCTGTACCCCTGAACTCCGCACTCAGGACGTGAGGGAGAAGGGCCACAAGTTTGAGGCCAGCCTGGGCTCCATAGCCAGCACAAAAACCAAAACCAGAATTTCTCTTTCTGGATTTGACTTCAGACTCTATCAAAACTAGTCCGCAGCTAGAAGTCTGAGGGCCGGGATGCAAGGCCGCTCGCTCGTGACTGAACAGTGAAGGGAGTCCCCTGACCACCTCTGTTCCCTCTACAGTGGGGCCATTTGGCTTTTCTGTTGAACAGACCAAAATGGCAGCCGCCCTTTAAGGGCGGGGCCTGTGCTGGGCTTTGAACCTCATCCTTCCTTTGGGTCACCCGGGCCCTGCCCTCTGCCGGGCCGTCTTTCTTGGATTAGGGTTTGCCCAGCAGAGTCTCAGTGGATGTGTTTGAACAGGTCGTGCCTCGGTGGGAAGCGACTTGCTCAGGGTCCGTGTTGAAAGTCATATTGAAATAACAATCTCAAATGTGTAACAGTAGTCCAACTCACAAGGACTCCTTAGCAGAGAAAGGGCTCTATGCAAATGGGTAAAACACACTCAGGGAGAAAGGAAATCAAAGGAGACAGCTAACGTGCAATGGTCATCGGGAGGGGACATGGATTCCTTGGGCTCCCGGTGCTCAGATTTGTGCAACGTAGAAAACAGCTCCAGACAGCCAGTTCCTGTGGAGTTGAGCGTGGTGCCGCCTGGCAAGGGCTGACGTCTGGCCTCCCATTATTCCAGATCTGTGGAGCAGAGATCTATCTGCCCAGGAGCAAGGAAGATGGCTCTGAGATTGCCGTTGGTTCCCAGACCCCAACGCTCACTCCCTTCCGGCCCCGCCCCGCCCTGCCCATGGCCCGCTCACACTTCTCTGCTTTATCTCCCCCCAGAGGAGATCCTGAAGACCCACATCGCACACTGGTGGTCTCCGGATGGCACACGGCTGGCCTACGCCACCATCAATGACTCCCGCGTGCCTGTCATGGAGCTGCCGACCTACACGGGCTCCCCATACCCCTCCGTGAAGCCCTACCACTACCCCAAGGTAAGCACGTCATTCTGGGTTCCCCGCCGACTCCCGGTGTGGAGGCAGTCACCACACGAGTGAGCACGAGCCGTGTGGAGCGCAGAGGAGAGAGGAGCCGTTCCTCACGGCATTGCGCGACGGTCCCCTCTCTGCTCCGCTGACGTCGCTGCCCGGTTCCGAGTGTTTTAAATAATGGAGAGTGACCATTGGTTGTGTGTCTGAGTTCCATGAGCACAAACCTAAATACGCCGTCCCCACCCTGTTCCTGCTGCTGCCGCTTAGGTTGTGGCTGTGGCTATGGCAGGACTCCCATCCACCCCGGTCCCCTGCCTGGGCAGGGCTCTGCCCTGCTGCAGTCTGAATGCCTGTGTCCCCGCCATACCCAGCCACGGTGATGGGTGGGAGGGGTCTGGGCACGGTGGGGAGTGGGTGCCGAGAGCACCCTCTCGCATCTCTGCTGCACGGGCTCCCTCGAGAAGACCCCACCCAGGAGGAAGGAGCCCCTGACGCTGGCTCTGACTGTGGACTTCCAGCCCCCAGACCTGGGAGATGTTCGTGCCTGTGGTTTACCAGCCACCGGCTTTGGGCCTTTATTATAGCAACCCAAGCGGACAAAGACTGGTGTGTTCCAACCCGAAGGGCCAGAAGGAAGGCCAGGGTCCAGCTCGGATGTCCTGGCAGGGCATCCAAACATGACTTTATCACCAAATCTCAGGGTCAGAGCACCGAGGGAAGCCTGAGGCTTCCAGAAGGTGCTCGCACAGGGCCAGCTGCTGACCGCCGCCTTCACTAGACATTGCCGAGGCCAGCAGCCAGGCAGACGTGGGCCTTGTCTGTGCCCTCCCCCGAGGCAGCCTCTGGCCTCTGCCAGGAACAGCTTGGTCCACAGCATCCCCACCACCAGACCGCTCTGCAGGTCTAGAGCGCTGGCCTCGGGTCCACCAGAACCCTGGATCTGAGGCCTAGCTCACACACAGAGACCTCACACCCTGAGTGCAGAAACAGGGTCTGCGGGAGTCCTGGAGCCACAGCGAGAGGAAAGAAACATCCTGGCTTGTCCACCGGCTGCCACAACATAAGTCTGCTCAGACAACAGGAATCTGCTTCCACTCCGGAGGCTGGAGTCCTGGAGCAGGGCTCTGAGTGCACCTGGTCTCTTCCTGGCTTCCAAACTGCCAGGCACACAGTGGGGCCACAGAAAGCCCTGGTCTCTAATTACCACTTCCAAACACCATCATATTGAAAGCTAGAGCTTCAGCATCTGAACTCGAGGCCATGTTCAGGCCATAAAAGCCGGCCTGCAGACTTGTGGTTACTGTCTGTGGGGTCCACAGGGATGAACGTGCGTCCTCCAGGGACACATGTCTGTCTCCTTTCTGTCCTCCACAATCCGCTAGCCATCTGCACACACGTGAATGGGCCCTGGATGGTTCGTTCCTGTGTTCCCCGACAGCTGGTCTGCACTGGACATAACTCTGTATTACTTGGGAGTTTAGGGCCGACTGGGAACACAGTAAACGGGACCAAGTCAGATCTTCCTAAACTTCCACTTTCCTCCAACACACAAGTGTATGTGTGTGCACAGACGTGTGTACATTTCATGCACACACACATGAAATACCAGCCTTTGATCTTCCACCACCCAGAGGTGGGATGGTCTCTGGGGACCCCTCCAGGAGAAGTCCTGATCTACAAGTGGTTGGAGGCCCCTCCGTTTGCAGTCAGCTCTGCGATAGGTGCTCTCAACGCTGGATCGCTCGGGACTGCATAGTTTGAACAGGAAAGCAACGTATTCTGGCCAACAGAGCCCAGACACACTTCCAGTGCATGTGGGGTGCAGAGGAGACCCCTGTCACCCCCAGAGTGAGAAAATACCTGGTCTCCCGCAGCCCCTTCCCAGCCAGAGCCCGTTCCCCAGAGAAAGGAAGGACAGAGCTGAGTGGCGCCCTGCCCCTGGGTGGAGGACTTGACTAGTGCGACGGGAGCTGACCAATATTCTCCCCTGCTCCCTCGCCCTCCCGCCTCCTCCTCTCCTAACCGAGTCCTTCCATCCCATCACGGCTTCCCGATCCACTGGATTCTCTGTCCTCAACGTAGATTGCACTCCACAGCACTGAGCTCCGGAGTTCCTTAAGACCCACTGCAGAGTGGAGGCCTGCAGATAGGAGGCCTGCAGAGGGGAGGCCTGCAGAGGGGAGGCCCTGCAGAGAGGAGGCCTGCAGAGCGGAGGACTGCAGAGAGGAGGCCTGCAGAGAGGAGGCCTGCAGAGCGGAGGCCTGCAGAGAGGAGGCCTGCAGAGAGGAGGCCCTTTCCACAGGGGAAGCCGCTCGTTCACATCTCTGTCCCTGTCCCCCGCAGGCTGGCAGTGGAAACCCCAGTATCTCCCTGCACGTGACTGGCCTGAATGGACCTGCCCATGACCTGGAGATGACGCCGCCAGATGACCCCCGCATGAGGTAAGCCCCTCTACTTGCTCTGAGCAAAACGAAGATAAAAGCATGTTCAAGGAGCTTTGAGGATCTGGTTTCTTAGCATTGAACTTCCAAGCAATAGATGCATTTTCTGAAAGCGTTCCTTACTCCTTGGTGATGTTTCTGGAGAACAGAAAACCAAAACCCAACCAGCAAGGACCGCCGTTTCCTCTGGGCTCCGCGGGAGGCCGGGCCCCTCCCGGAACATGTCTACCCCCCGTGGGTCTCTCCTGGGCCGTGGTGCCCTGGACACGGCAGACGGTGACGCGTGTGCATGTGCTGATGCAGGGTTCCCAAGGAACCCCATGCACGTGGGCACCCTGTAAGCAGTGCCCTGTCTCTAGAGCAGGGCTGAGTGGCCAGGCACTGCGGTGTGCGCTGTGAGGAGACCAGGCCTCCCGGAGGAGCGTCTGTGCTGTGGGTGGAACGTGTGACAGTGTCGTGGGTAATACAGCTGCTAGCGCTTGTGTTCACAGAGCGCGCACGGTGTCGTGGGCGTCTGGCTAGCTTTGCCCCCCGCAGTCTGGAAGCGGATGATGATACCTCTGGAGCCCGGTCGCATCATCAAGCTCGCTCTCATGAGAATGCTGGTGGGGGGGGCGCTTATGGTGGCCTACGGGCCACTCACCCACGGATCCCCGCAATTCTACAACTGAGTTTGTCTGGGTATGCCGTGCCGGAGCCTCGGCAAACACCCAGTCCAAGCGCTGCCCGCTCTAGGGCAGGGAAAGAAGCTTGGCCGTGCTCTCAATAACATTCCCCACGAGGCTTCCTGTGCCACCCGGCCCAGCGCCACCGCGTGAGCCGGGGCCATGCACAGTTCGCCGGAGGTCTTTCCACCCTCGGTCTTCAGTGGGGCCTAATCCAGCGTCCTGCAGGGGCAGACAAGGCACCGAACTCTGGTGCTCTGTGAGGGTTGGCCTCTCCCTTCCTTGCTCTGGACTGGTCCCCCCAACCAGGGAGGCCAAAGTCTCCCCTAAAGTCCGAGGCACTTGGCCCCCAGATGGCTGCCCCTGGACCCGACACAAATGGCCCGTCGCGGGGCAGGCAGCCTGATGCCCACTGCTTGGGGCAGGGGCGGGGGGTCATTGCTTGTGGCTGATATTTTTGTTGATACTTCTCCAATTAGTGCTGGGCTTTCTCTCCTGAAGCTCTGTCTGTCTCACGGTCTCCTCTCGGCCTCATCCCTGCCAAGCCTCCCGGGGCCTGGCGCAGCCAACTCACCGAACTAATATGCGAAGTCACCTGGAAAATTCCGGCCATCTGTTTGAGTTAATTGAAGGTCTCGTGTAGTTGATTCGGCGGTGCCGTCTCCGCAGGCGGGGTTAGCTCCAAGGACAGGGAAAGTTAGCTGCCGCCAGGGCCTGACGGGGGCTGCGGGGTTTCTCGGGTCTTCTGTCTGCTCTGGTTTCCTAAGCTAAATGCAGCGTGTGCTTCCGAGAGACAGGGACATGGACGTGGACGTGCAGCCTCTCCTGGGGCTCGCTGTTTCCTCCACCCCACCCCATCCTTGAGATTTTCTTAAGGGGAGCACAGATAGATCAGAGACCAGCATCCAGACACACAGCGTGAGGCTATCATTCAAGTGCACATAGGCATCTAGTGGTGAACAAGCACCGGCGCATGGCGAGGGCAGGAGAGGACCCTGAGCACCCGCCGCCAGCCAGTCCATGATCGCAGGCCCAAGGGAAGGGGCAGCATCCCCGCCAAGGCCAGCTTCAGCGCGGTTGGCATTCGAATCTAGGGAGTCTTCTCAGTGCACAGGCGCTGCCCGGGGTGCTGTCCAGTGCTCTAGCTCCCCACCCGAGCCGTAACTATCAGACTCATCTCCAGCTGTGGCCAAAGCTCCCAGACGCAGAACCCCTAGCGGGTGAGGCTTCCCTGCTGACTTCCCGGCTCTGAGCCACCAGGCCCCTTCCCCACTGACCTCCCAGCTCTGAGCCCTCAGGCCTCGCTTGCCTGCTTCCATTCTCTCTTCTGTGCCGTGAGATGATGGCAGCAATAAAGGTGGGTTTTCTGGAGAGTAATGGAGGTGATGCAGGGAGCACGGGGGAGGTGATGCAGGGAGCACGGGG